TCCCTCCGTTTCAATTTATGTGAACTCATTTGACTGGGCACGAAGTTTAAGAAAACAGAGAAGACTTTTGATCTAGTGGTGTAAAATGAGGCACATATATTTTGTGTGGCTATAAATCATTGTGTAAAGGTAAATTATTTCTAAATAAAGAAAGGGATCATTCTTTTTGGCACGGACTAAAAAGGAAATAGGTTCACATAAATTGAAACAAAGAGAGTATTTTTTATACAGATCTGTATACAAAAAATTACAGAGAAGTGCAATCTCATAAGTAGAAATCATACCTTGTTGTAGATGATCTATCCACTATAAATTGACATTTTTCTCGTATTGCGTAGTGCTTCATTACACTAATGAGAGTATCTTTGTCCCATTACAACTGACCTTCTGCAATTTCTTCATGTTGTGGATTGTTTATCATACAATTTCCCTTTAATATCTCAATTTTGTCTTCCTTTACATGATTATCCATCATCTCAACAATATTAGTTCTGTATACTTCTTCTACGTTCTGATATTGTAAACCAACTGAAGTTGTTGCGAGTAAGTTTCCAGCTGAAGTTTTTGCGAGTAAGTTGCCACCCAAGTATGAACTTGAATATGAGCATTCAACACTTGAATACACAGTTTTCAATGTTATGCATAATGGATATTCAGTGATATCCAGGTTTTTCTTTTTCATCTCCATATACAAGCGCACACGCATATCATTATATATTGGAATTGCTATATAGCCATCCTTCACTGTATATTTTATCTCCATTGCACTCGTAATTGAATCTCTACCCAATTGCTTGTATATCTCATCAACAAAATAATCATAGCTATAGTCCGAATTGATCAACATGCCATTAACAAGGAAATTAACAAATTTACTCTCACTTACCCATTCACCACTGTATTGAAGTAAAATCGGAATCAAAGTTGGAACGGTAGTTCCAACATTCACAATCTCCATAGACATTAATTGATTTTGTCGATTTTGTATCAATTTCACAATTTAAGAACTAAATCTCAACTCTATTAAGCTGATTGTAGGCAACAATTATGCAAAAACTTTGAATTTCAGTGTGAATTTTGGGAGCTCTTCTCTGGATTTAATCTTCAGAAACCCTAGAATTTTTTTTTTCACAATGTGAATAATTGGGCGACTTTTATAGTGTTTGGAGGTTGAAGATCCCATACTGAACGCTTGAATTTAGGATACAAAATCGATTAGGACTGCTTTCCTTTTCGTTTGCGTTAAGCGTATAGTTTCAGCCTTTTCAGTTGCTAGCCTTTGTTATTGTTTTGAGGCTATTACTTGTAAGGGGTTATTTTGTGACTATCAGGTGATATAAGTTTGGCCCTAGTGGCTACAAATGAAGTTTGCTCACTAGAATATGGATCTGTCTTGGCCCATTTAAGAAATGATCAATCAGATTTTTTTTGGAAATCAATTAATTTATCTATTCTTTCTTCTTCTTTTTTTCCTTACTCTTCCTTTTTATGTGTCCCCACTTACTCTTCACATGACTGAAATCTCCAATCCAGGAGTTGGCGTAAATGTACGTTGCCACTAGAGCAAACCTCACTAATTGTGGGGTAAATGATTGTTACAACTTATTATTTTTAGCATATTTTGGGGTAGGGGCAAAGTTTATGGGATAAATGATTGTTACAACTTATTATTTTATTTTATTTTATTTTTGCATATTTTGGGGTTTGAGAAGGCCCGACTAGATAAAAAAACAAGAGCAAAGATCACTTTTAGCCAACGGTCGAAATTATTACATCTGGTAGCAGTAAGTATAAAATTTATATAATTTTTGTATATAACATAAAAATATGCATATATATTTTGAGAGTACTATACAACGCCATTTTTCAAAAAAAAAAAAAGAAGAGAGAAGAGAGCTTTGTGTTAATCGAACTTTGCACCTATGTATTACAAGATACCAATGAGCTGCTAAACAATTTTATTATAGTTCAAATGGTAGCTATACTAATATTCATTCCCTACAAATTACCAAAAAAAATTATTCTTTTTTTTTTGCTAGGAACAAGCATTTTATTTATTTAAAACATAGTTATTACAAGGAGGGGATGGAACGTATAGTTCCAGTGCCCCTCGAGTCCAAAAGTAAGTATGGTAAAACAAAAGGTGGGGGGGGGGGGGGGGGGGAATCAAAAAGGAGAACATCAGTAGGTTGTGGAAGACTAAGCTTCTTTTTTAAATGTGCCAGCGCATCTGCAACAATATTACCCTCCCGGTAGATGTCGTTGAGCTGTGGCATACATAAGTCACGCAACATCAACCTGCAAGCATGAAAGAGATGTGAGTATTTCAGAATACCTTGTGGTAGTAGTGTGATAAGTACCTGCGAGTCTGTTTCCACTATGAGCGGTAGCAAGTTGTTGGTAATAGCAATTTGTAATCCATGAAGAAGGGCAAGTAATTCCGCTTGTAATACTGTTGTGTGGTACAAGGATTTTGAGTAGCCAATGATCCATTGTCCTTCGTGATTACAGATTGCTCCTCCTATGCCTCCACATTGTGTGGATGGGTCGAAAGCACTATCGATATTGAGTTTGTCGGTATGCGGATGAGGTGTCATCCATTTGACTTGGACCGATATGTGTGGCGAGGTAAGCATGTTCAGCTACTTGGGTAGCGATTGTTATATGGTTGATTAGACGTGTATCATGGTTAAAGAGATTATGATTACGGTTCAGCCAAATGTTTCATATGATAAATGGAGCAATGTTCCCTAGAGGAATATTATGGGGATGGGGGAGGGAAGATCTAAGGTTAACTGAGGTGGTGGAGGTACATAGATGTTTTATCCATCGGGCATGGTTATCCTGTGGTATGGGTAGATGGAAGTATTGCCAAATATGAGTGGCGGGTGGGCATACGGTGAAAATGTGTATTAAATCTGCGGAAGGGTAAGGGCAGAAGGTGCATTGTGGGCTGGGGGTGATGTTGCATAATGCTAAAAGTTGCCTAGTGGGCAAAGCTTGGTGGAGAAGAAGCCAAAAAAAATGTTTAATCTTATTAAGTGTAGGAACGTTCCAGATCCAGTAATGTTGAAAGGACGTGGGTGTGTGAGATTGATTAAGGATGAGTAGTCGGTAAGCTGATGATGTGGAAAAGTGACCGTCAGAGGTAGGGTGCCAGTGGGGTGAATCGTCGGTAGTAGTGTCAAGGTTGGGAATAGTGTTATGAATAAGTTGGTGAATGTGGGCCGGGAGGTCAAAGAAGAGTAAGGTGAGATCAAATGTTGGTGGTGTAAAGATGTGGTTTAAGGTGAGCGATGTTTCATGCTGAAGAAGGGGGCCTTGGATAAGCTGTCTCAAAGAGAAATGGGGTGAGATCATTCCAAAGATTTATTTTTGTACCAGATGTAATTGTCCAGGAGGTACCTTGTTGGCATAAGGGTAGGGCTTTTGTTAGGCTTTTTCAGGTGAAGGAGTCATGCGATTAGTTATGTAAGCTCTGGAATGTGGTGGAGTGGCACGAGGCGTACAGTATTTGCCCTGCAATATTTGAGTCCACAGGCTTTGAGGATTATGGGAGAAACGCCAGACAAGGCTGGTTAATAAGGCGATATTTTAGGGAAAGTTTAGGGTAGTCCTAGGCCACCATACTTTTTAGGCGTAGTGACTGTGTTCCAATTGAGTAGGTGTAGTTTGTGGTGGGTAGGGGTGGAACCCCATAAGAAATTACATTAGATTTTATCAATATTTTGGCGTATTTTTAGAGGTAGGAGTTGATTTTGCATTGCGTAGGTTGGGATTGAATTTAAAACGGATCGTATAAGAGTTGCATAACCTGCACAACCTGCCAAATTGAGAAATTTAGTTTTCCAACCTTGTAAGCGATTATGCATCCGATCAAGTATATACTGGTAATCAGAAGATTTGGGATGCATTTTAGGCATTGGGAATCCAAGGTATTTGCCGAAGGTGGATGCATTGTGGATGTTTAGGAAAGTAGTTAAATGGGACATAGTTGCAGGAGTTGTATTACTGGAGAAGAGGAGTTTGGATTTTGTAAAGTTGATTCGTTGGCCAGATTGGTCAACAAGGTGGTTGAAAATGTGCAATATGGAGTGAGCGTTAGCAGTATTTGCCTTTGCGAAAAGGACAATGTCGTCAGCAAATAGCAAATGAGATAGATGGGGGCCCTGTCTTGATATTTTAATGGGAGTCCATTGTTTTATGAGGACGGCTTCCTCAATCAGTTGTGACAACATCTCCATACAAATGATAAATAAGTATGGTGATAGTGGGTCGCCTTGTCTAAGTCCACGAGAAGGCAGGAAGAAAGGGGTAGGCTTGCCATTGACTAAAATAGCTATGGATGAGGTAGTGATGCAGGACATAATGAGTTGTATAGTGTGTGACGGAAAATTGAGTTGACATAGAGAGTAACGAATAAAGGACCATTCAAATGCGCGTTCTATTGACCTAAAAAAAGTTATTCATTCCCTGCAAGAAAACAATCACGGAGGACGGTCCCTGTTGGACAATAAATACTTGACATTTAGAACTTGGTCCTTCCATCACGATAATTGAGTCTCTATCTCATTTCACATGAAGTGTATCCAAACGATAAATCTTATTTCGTAAGAATGTCCTAATTTTAGGTTCTAACTTTTAAAGTTCTTACTTTTAGTTTATTATACTTTTGAAATTATAATTTTAAAATATAATATTTGTTAAAAAATTTAGTGTTTATCACATATATGCTCATGTTCCCCATCGAAAATTGCGTCCTGTTGAACCCGTATCTAATAAGCTATATCTACCACTACACATATGTCAAATATGTGTCACCTAAGACCTACATCCCTTCCCTCTCCTCGGTTCTACTAAAAGATGGTAGAGATGTAGATGAAGACAAGATGCTCAACTTTGCTGTAATGGTTGTGAGGAGAGGAGAAAACTGGCTAGATACTACGTTTGTCATTGCACTTGTGTATGATTTTGTCATTTAATATCATGACAATAAACTATTCAACTGCATCCAAGATTTTGCTTAAAGACAAATTCAACCTCAGACCATCAGCTTTGCACTGCAGAGTATTAACAGGACAACATTCACAGAAACAGCTTCTGCAGCTGTTGTCAAGAAAGAAGCAGACACCAAAAAAAGCTCAGGAACTATAGCAATGAGTTAGCTTCATATACATGTCATTTTAAGCCAAGAGGCCAAAGGACACTAACATATATACCTGAGTTTGTATATAAAACTTGTTGTCCCCTCAAAAACCTTCAATTCCTTTATAGTCAATTACCCCAAAGATGCATGTCGGGACATGTCCTCCATAGCAGCTTTTTCACTCTTCTTGGGCATTATATCAACGTGAAAGTTATATTAGCTGAGAAACATACTCCATAGCTTCCTTGCTGACGGGCAGCGTACAAACATATGATTTGAACTCTTCTTCACTTCCTTTACACGTGAAGCACGGGACCATACCCCATTCCCTGCAATTTTGACCTTGTTAAACAAGCTTCGTGTTCTGGCTATTTTAAGAGGTCCACTGTTTTTCCAAATTATCCTCCAAGGCCATTGAGTTGAGCCATTCTGACTTAGGTTAACATTTTGTAACACAATCTTGTCATCCTTTTGTTGCCTCCACCTCCTTATATCTGATTCTAACTGGTAAATTGTGAGGCCTCAGTCTTTTGAGAAGTTCACGCGTATCCACAGTTTCTTCTAAAATTTAATTGCCACCCATCTTGCCACCAATATTATGCTACAATTAACCCCGGTTCGCTGCCAATCTGTATACTCACATTCCTCTGGCTAAAGTTGGCACATATATTGAATGGCTTGAGATAGAGGTTGTAGAACATACAACAAAGTTGAAAGCAATTCAACAGCTGCATGCAGCCAAGAAAAGACGTTGCAATTTATTGCATCTTTACCATGCCATAGATTGATGGCGCAGCTCTGTAGTGATTTGATCTACTAGTCCCCTGAAATCACCAGAGCTTCCAAACAAGTGCATCAGAACACCTAAGAAGTTTAGTTTTTGATAATGATAAAAATAATTTTTTTTTTTTTTTGGAGTAGAATGCATCTAAGAAGTTTAATTTTACTTCAGATCTTCAAGATATCCAACAACGAACCAATTCCAACAGAGGGAAGGATGCAGGGAGCGAGGAGACGGACAAATACAGCTTAACGAGAGGAATATTACAACATTGTGACTCATCGAAGACAGAATCTCTAAAGGAATCTTGATCTAGCATCCTACAAAAACATCCATTCCTGTCACTGTCTTATGGAAGCTCGCTTTCCAGATGAATAACTCCAAGCAGAAGTGTTCGACGACAAATGCAACCCAACCAACGTCTCCAAATAATTCTTTTTTCTGTTTGACAGTAGAGGATAAATCCGAAATCTGCCTAAACTTTGACAAAAAATAAAATAAAGTAGTAATCATTTGAAAAAATAAAATATTAATAGATTCCCAACAAAAGCAATGGTTTCTGTGAAGTGTGAACATAAGACAGAAAGTTTTTTCAAGACCATAGAGGACTACTTAAAAGTTAAAACACCAAAGGTATCTATGCTTCTTCGAGCAACTACTATGCAAGAACTAACACTGTTTCCAATAGACTGCAGACTCGTAATCAGCTTTAACATTCTAGCTTAAGACATCACCATTATCAACTATTTCATACAAACATATCCAAGAGATTTCTTCCAACAAACAATTACACAAAGGTGTTTCTCTATCCATCTCTAAATCTGTAAATACCATTGAAACATGTCACACATAAAATAGCATTTAGCTGCCACAAAACAATCTCCACCTTGATGAAGAGCTTTATGACAATATGAAGAAACATGATAAATGTAACATTCCACGTTTCAGTTCATCATCCAAATCTGACTGGAATTTAAATGATAAGAAAGCAGTTTATTAATCGTTGATAACTGATAAGTGTCATGAAAGGAATAATTGTCAGCAGGACTAGTTATATAACGACACTCTTACAGCATCAATATTGTTTACCAACATTTAGTTGTACATCGAGGTTCCCACTATGCTCACATTTGCCTAGCTACGAATGACATCTAATGACTAGGCACACAATCATCAGCATAAATCATGCCCCTGATAGACTGGAAACCATAGCTTAGTCATCTGTATCATGCACAGCAAAAGGCCAGCAATATTTTTTGTTCTTAGGAGTCAATTGATTTGCGGACAAGTTATACTTTATACTTGTAACTCTTTTTTGGATAGTGGCGTCAGCATGTGAGCATCTTGATTAATTCACCGGGCAGGTTGCCAAAATAATTGTTTGTACTAAATTACTAATGCTAAAGCAGAGCAGCTCACACCAAATGTTGTAGCTGGGTTTTTGAACACGGGATCTCCAGGTTGAAGTTACACTTGGATCATAATGCAGGAACAGTACTACATTGACTAATCACTGGATTATCGTTTTTACTGTCTGATGTTTGGTTCTTTGTACCATATTTAGATACATGTATTGTTCAATTTAAACACGTGTTTGGTTCAAATTTGATATAAGATTTGTTACTGATAATACCCTTAACCTATATCAAAACTTTATTCAATCTAACATAACATTAGTTTTACTATCATACTTAAATCAATAATCAATCAACTACTCTTATGGAAAAATCAAGCAACAAGTTGTACATTTGATACTTTGACTCCGTGGCATATTTGCACATTCATCAATATTATCTAGGACAAGTTTGGCAAGGTGAAGTGGCAGGTTTTGGCAAGATCCTTGGTGCTGTGAAGCTAAGGACTATCACCAGACATCTTGCTTTTATGAGCGAATCTGTAGTAAATCGTCGTCTGTATGTATATCTAAACTCCTGCCAGTAATCAGTCCGCTTTTTAGTAAAAAGACTGGCACTAATGGAGTCAGTTCTCTGCTTTGGACTCGGCCCTTTGGCTACAGAATGAAAATTTTCGTTCGGCAATTTTGGCCTCAAGGATTGTAATAACAACAATGAATCATAAGCCTTATGAGTGGTTAGAAGGACTTCGTAGGATCACATGGGAGGGGTCTATGTGGCAAATGCCAATATCTAGAGGAAATGAAAGGAAGATAATACTAAAACACAGAACAAATAACAAAAAAGAGAATTGAGTAATCAGTAGTATCAGTAGTAATCAGCAGAGAAACTTTTCAATTGAGCTAATATCTAATTCACAGTGACTGAACCATTACACCAATTTAAAACAATACCTTTTCTTATCACTCCACAATGATTGTATACTGAGTGATAGAAGAATCATACCAACAAAGAAGAAATAATGTCCCCTTGAGTTCCCAAAGAAAATATTAGATCCTCTAGAGTTCGATCATCCAGTTATGCCTTCACCTCAACTTGCTTTGGTCCTAATTCAGGGAGCAGCAAACCAAGCCCATCCCTAGATTTAACATCCAAAGAACTCTCCTTTACATCCCGATACAAGGGATTTGATGTCAAAATCCTCAACCCTTTATCCCTATCAATCTCTAAAACCTCAGGCAATCCATTAGTACATCCCTTTGACATTCCTACATCAATCCTTATAGCTTGGTTATCGCAAACTCCATTAATCCCACTTTCTTGAATTGTATGTCCCATTATCATCCTTTTCGCTCCTGGAATTGTAGCAAGCACGTGTTCAAGAGTAGAACAATCACAATCCTTCGCCAACTCATGCGAAAACTTCCTCAACCAAACAATGGAATTCCTCCCCCTCACCAAATCCCTCGAAACTCTTCCCCTCACCCCACAAATCCAATCCCTCACTTCCTCATTCACATTCTCCAATCCATAATCCACATGTTTAGTCAAAAGTCCACCATGAACAAACACAGAATCACCAACAACAACAACTGTTTGATTCTTTCCCAAAAACCTCTCCGAAATCGGCCCATTTGGCCTTAATGCTGCAATTCTTGTTCTAATACCATCAAAGAGCTCCTGATTTACACCATGAAACTCAAAGGGTATCCCCAAAAATGGATCTTTAACACACTCTTTATCAAAACCATCACATAATTCTTTCATATCATTGCCTACGCAATACCAAAAAGCCCAATCTTGAAATTCTTGAAGACCCTCTTTAGTAACATACCTAAAATCACCATCAACATTCATAATCTCATGATTACCATTCATAGTAATTAAATTACCATTTACCTTAGCAGCTTCCCTTTTCAGTTTTTCAAGAAAATAAAGAATCTTTAATTCTTGGCCACCACGGTCAAGTACATCACCTATTTGAACAACTGTAGTGGACCCACCACACCACTTGCCATGGTCATCAATTAAGCCAGCAAGTTTAAAGGCTTGTTTGGTTTTTTGGAAATCACCATGTAAGTCACCTATTGCAATTAAACGATTAGGAGAAGGTAATATAGTTTGGTTTGGTGACGAAGTTATTGTTGGTTGTGGAGGTAAAAAGAGGCCTCCACTGACAGAGAAATCGACGAATGTGTCAACGAAAGAGGAGAAGATGGTTGGGAGATTTTGGCATGTTAGATTGGATTGTGACTCCATTGAATTGATTAAGGTTTTTTTTTTCTTTTTTTGGTTCGTAATTAGATGTTGAGAAATTGTAATTGTGGAAGTATAATAACGCTTTTGTTCGGAAACACTGGGAATCTGGGGACTGGGATTGGTGAGGTGACTTGACTTTTGGTTGACCTAAATAGCAAGTTCATCTTTTTTCTTTTCTTTTATTTTTTATTTTTCATGTGAGGTTTTCTTTTCTTTTTACAAAAAAAAACCCCCCTTTTTTAAATATTAGTTATTTTAAGAAATTAAATTTGTTTTAAAATTATAATATTCTTAAAAAATAAAATTATTTATTATCTTTTTTCAAATATATCCTTACTGCTTCAATCAATGAAATACTAATTGAGTGATTCGATTATAAATAATTAAATAGGATGCAGTTCATACAAGTACTCACAAGTACTCTAATTATTAAGGTTATTACTCTTTCCAATTCATAAGTGACCAATTTGTTTTTGGCACGCCTATTAAGAAAATACTAAATTCTATACAAAAATATCTAATATGACTAAACTATCCTTAATTAAATATTTAATGTGAGGAGTAAGAATTTTTTTAGGGATATGTACATAAGGGTAATTTTGTAAAAAAAAATTGAATTTTTTCTTGATTATATAAATGGACACTTATTTTGGACCAAAATAAAAAAAGAAATTAATCATTTATTGTGGACCAGAGGGAGTAAATATCTTTCTTGATAAGTGTGTAAAAATCATACTCCCTTCTACCCACTTTAATTGATTTTTTAGCTTTTGATTTTTCAAATATCAAGAAGGAATTAATTTTTTTTTTAAACTTGCCTTTAGAGTAAAGAGCCTACGAGTATTTGTTATATTTCTAATGAACAAATTAATGTTAATATGATCAATTTCATTGTTAATTAATACTAAAAGATTAATTCCTTAATATGTGTGAAAGCAATCAAAAAATTAATTAAAGTAAACCGGAGTAAGTAAAAGATGAATAATAAATAAAAGCAATAATACATATTTTAGTTGAACAATAATACCAAAGTACTTCAGTTACTTATAATTAGAAACCCTTGGTCCTTATACTTCTTCTTTTTTGGTGCTAATCAAACCTAAGCTCATAATTTAGTATACGGTCAGACCTCTTTATAACAACATCCTTATATAACAACACTGTTAGATGTTTGCCATAATTTTCTTATCATATTTGATTTTTCTATTTGTTGAAGGAAAGGGCAACATGATTACCTTAATTGGGTTTTCCTTCTTGTAGAAGGAAATTATAAATCTCCCATATTTGGTTAGTCCTTTTTCTTGTAGGAAAAGGTTTGAACTTCTATAAATTGAGGATCATTCCTTCTCATTCAGTAACATCCACAATGTAGCCATATGGGGTTTGAGAGTTGTGTTTATGGGGAGAATTTTACGGGACAAGTGTTAGTGTGTCACTTATGTTTACCTCTTCGTGAGGTTGTTCTCTCGATATTTTGTACTCTCTTTTATATATAGTGGATTACTCATCTCCGCCGTGGGCGTAAGTCAATTGACCAAACCACGTTAAATGTTTGTGTCTCTTTTGGTAGATTTCTCTTTTGTTGTCTGATTTATCGTCGTTGAGGGTTTGCTTTGCTAGCTTCCGCATGACACCTGAATTTTTCGGTTCTAACAAGTGGTATCAGAGAAAGGTTCAAGACAGGTTCATCTTGGCGGGTTCAGTTCTAGCTGCAACATATTTGACGATAATCGTGATTTTTGTCTGAGAAATTTGACCAGTTTGCTACGCACATTGAGACAAACTTTGTGGTGAAGATTTTGGAGATGCGACATGTTGAAGGCTATGTGAAGAAGGTGGATCAAGTTTATTTTGTCATAAAATTCAGGCCAAGGGGGAGAATTATTAGGTGTTTGCCATAATTTTCTTACCATATTTGGTTTACCTATTTGTTGAAGGAAAGTGCAACATGTTTAACTTAATTGGATTTTCCTTCTTGTAGAAGGAAAATATAAATATCTCATATTTGGCTAATCCTTTTTCTTGTAGGAAAAATGTTTGGACTTCTATAAATTGAGGATCCTTTCTTCTCATTCATTAGCATCCACAATATAGCCATATGGGGTTTGAGAGTCATGTTTAGGGGGAGAACTTTACGGGACAAGTGTTAGTGTGTCATTTGTGTTTACCTCTTCGTGAGGTTGTTTTCTCGATATTTTGTACTCTCTTTTATATATAGTGGATTGCTCATCTTCGCCGTAGACGTAAGTCAATTGACCGAACCACGTTAAATATTTGTGTCTCTTTTGGTAGATTTCTCTTTTGTTGTCTGATTTATCGTCGTTGAGGGTTTGTTTTGCTAGCTTCTGCATGACATCTGAATTTTTCAGTCCTAACAAACACTTCACTATAAAATTTAAGCTTTTCCGGAACCAATTTTTATGTTATGTTATAATATATGTTCTCTATAACAGCACTTCACTATAACATCCAAAAATATTCAAAAAAACGAGGCTATTATAAAGAGGGTTGACTGTAATTACACATAATTAGAAACTCTCATGTCCTTGTACTTTTTTCTTTCAAGATAATCACATGAAGGTACGTTTCAAGCGTTTTCATAACAAAACTTAACTCAATTTCCCTTTTGTTATACAATTGAGCATAATTCCTTTAATTTTTTCTGCATATTGTAACGGGCCATATACGCATCTCTCTCTCCATCTTCTCCCTTCCTTTTCCTCCTCTCGTCAGAGGCATTACATTTCTTTTTTCCATCACTTACCTCTTTTTTTTTTACACGAAAAATAAGATAAAAATAGCAAATCGTAGTTAGAGTACTAATTTTGTAACATTTGGATGGTAAAAAGCATATCAGAATGGTAATCCAATACCGTTGAATAAGTTTGAAGAACTGGGATTGATTCGAATTTAATTTTATGAAAAATTTGGAGTTAGTGTTGTTTAAACTTGTTGAAAATAGTCTAAGAAGGTTGTATACAAAATTTAAAGTCATTTAGTGGAAATCTGGACTCGTTTTTAACAAGAATCACAACTGAAAATCACAGAAGAAGTTCGTCAATGTAGCTCGATACTTACACACTTTCATACATTGTTATAGACTTTTAAACAAGGTTAATAATTCTATACAAGGTTAATAATTGTATACACTATTATAAACTTTTATACTAGATATATACATGATACAAATGCAGAAATCAAAATAACAAAAATAAAAATTAAAGCATAAAAATATAGAATTGAGCAAAGAACAAATTAATGAATTAGAAAGAACACTTGAAGATAAGCAAATACTCAATCCAATTAAAGCTTAATTTACCCTAGGATATAGGAAAAATCCTCAAGGAAAAATAATCACCTTGCTAGTTCACTTTAACATGATCAAAACCAACTAAGGAATTCCTCCTCACAATACTCTCTTAAGAGTTTTATATCTCCTAATCACAAACAAGATAGTAAAAATAAATCATGTATTTTACCATATATAATAACTACTAGGGTTATTATAAAATGTCGGTAAGGCCTTAATTTGAAGACTTGTCAAATTTGACCGGAGTTGCATAGGCATGCGATCGCGATGCTGTGGCGCAACCGCCTAGGCTTCAATTTTGGTCTTATGCGCGATCATGATGTTATGGCGCGATCACGTGGCAACCTACCATGATAACGGCTCTTTCAGCACGATCACATGGTCTGAAGCTCTTCTAGCGCGATCTTGATAGTGTAGGTGCAATTGTGTTAATATTTGTATGCTAGTTTTTAGTTTCTGTCCAATGCCTTCTAGTCTTGATCCTCGAAATATTATAGCACTCTAATGCTTAAATATCATCTATCATGACCCAAATCCCGCAATAGGTGTCGTGATGATACTTAGTCTCCAAGACTAGGCAACCCTATCACATACAATTCCAATAAAATATAACAACTTCAAAATTTAACAAATACTGCAAAACATGATAATACTGCCAAACATAGGCACAATAACAACTTTCCAAAACCCGGTCATACTGAGTCATAAGCTCTACATAGAATACATAACAAGTTTCTAGCTTACAACACAATTTCGAATATATAAATAGTAGAAATAAGGTAAGAGGGTGACTCCGAGGCCTGCGAACGGGACAACAGGGATACCTTGAAGTCTCCAACCAGCTCTAACATGCAATACTAATGATCAGCTCGATCCGAAGTACTTGGATCTGCACAAGAATGTGCAGAAGCATAGTATAAGTACATCACAGTCAGTAATCAATAAATATCAAGACTAACCTCAGTGGAGTAGTGACGAGGTTCAAGTGATGATACTCATTAATCAAATAACTTGTATAAGATATCAAAAGAAAACTGACAACAAAGTGCATAATTGAGCAAATATCAATAACCTCGTAGAACGTGTAGTAACAATTCAGTGTGAAGTAACTCATCTTTGCCAACAAAATATCAAATAGGAGTGGGGCATGTGATAGCATGACAAAATCGACTAATAACTCATAAAATGCAAGACGAATATATTTAAGAAACCAGTATGTGATCAAAATATCAACCCCATTCCAACACATGAAGAACATCAAAGGAATACCTCGAAATATCACATAATATCATCACAATGACACCATTATGTTGCCGTGTGCGCATCATAGTGAAATTTCCCCCTTATGTCGTTGCACGCGCATAAGCCACAATTATCTCGCCACATGCGTATCACAATGAAACGTATGCCTTATGTTGTCGCATGCGTATCTCGCCACCTTTATACTCCAAACAACATCAATCAACCACACATCATGTCCAAATGTGCCACAATATCACAAAACAACAAAATTCCAAGTCATATCAAAATATAGGCTCAAAGCTCAACAACAACATGCACAAGAAAATAACAATAACGTAAGAGTGCGGGGAGTGTTCAATAATAAAGCATGTTTCATATAGCAAACAACCTCAATCCAAGGCATATGAATAGCCTAAGGTCTAATTCGGTTATAAACTACACATACGCCCATGTACACACTCGTCACCTCGTGTACAAGTCATTTCACATAGCATAAAAATGTAATTTAGACCAAATCCTAAGGGGTAATTCTCCCACACAAGGTTATGCAAGATACTTACATCAAT